AATGTGCTAGTCGTTACTCTAGCTTCAGAGCATACACTTTCCATTTGGAGATTAATACACTAGTCATTACTCTGGTTCTTGAAGATGTTACCAGCTACCTTGAAGCAGTTTGGTTCTTTGGCTAGAGTAGTTTAGCTATTACGTGCATTTTCATATTAGGTTAGACGGGGCTGGGGATTTAGCTCAGCGGCACAGCGCCTGCCTGGCAACTGCAAAGTTGTGAGTTCGATTCCCGGTACCGGAAAAACAACAAAAAATTAGGTTAGATTGGGCTCTTTCTGTCTGTCTGTCTTTGAGCCAAGGTCTCACTATATAGTGCCAGGTGGCTTTGAACGCACTGTGTAGCCCAGGCTGGCCTCGAACTCGTGGCGATCCTCTTGCCTCAGACAGGGTCATGCTATGTAGTTTAGGCTGGCCTGGACTCACTGTGTAGCCCAGCCGGCCTGGAACTTGCAGCAGTCATCCTGCCTCAGCCTCCCCAGTGCTGGGATTACAGGCGTGCGCCAGCACGCTTGGCTGCATGTCCCTGAGTTTTGAACCTCGAACCATTCTTTTCCTTTAGAAGGAGTATTAAGTTTTTCATGTATCATATCAAAGATAATTTCTGTGTACATAGATAGGCAAGTATGTTAAAATATGTAAAAATTTTAATGTTTTCTGTGGGCACAGTAATATTTTCTCTTTTTCTTTTTGAGTTGAAGGCCAGCCTGATACAATTGAAAGAAATTGCCAATCTAACCTAATACGAAAAAGCATATAACAGCTAAATTAATCCACCCAAAGAATCAAACTGCTTCAAACTGGTGATTGAACCCAAGGAGTGCTGAGCTACAATATTTCTAGTCCTTTTCCTTATTCATTCATTCATTCATTTAGAAACAGGGTCTCACTAAATTGGCCAGGCTGGCTTTGAATTTATGATTCTTCTGCCTTGGCCTCCCAAGTAGCTGGGATTACAGGTGTGCATCACCACACCTAGCTAATATTTTGTTTATTCAAGTATTAAATACTTATTTCTCGTTAAATACATTGAATCTCAAAGCTGGAATAGATCTTAAGCATCTGGACTCTACCTTTCACTCCTTAAATTTCCTTCTTTTTTTTTTTTTTAAAGACAAGGTCTTGCTATGCAGTTCAGGCTGGTTTTGAACTCACTTTGTATCCCAGACTGGCTTTGAACTTGCAACAATCCTCCTGCCTCAGCCTCCTGAGTGCTGGGATTACAGGTGTGCACTACCACACCTGGCCTCTTTCCTAACTTTATATCCAGTGTTCAGTCTGTCTGTCCTTGTTTGTGTGCACCACCACAGCTAGCTTAAAAAAGAGTATAGTTCTGTGAATTCTAGTGTATTCACACGGTTGTGCAGTCCATTGCCACTAATTCCAGAATGTTTTTCGGGATTTTTTTTTTTTTTTTTGAGACAGGGTCTTACTGTGTAATCCAGGCTGGCCTTGGACTCGAGATCCTTCTGCTTTGCCTCAGCCTCTCAAGTGGTGCTGGAATTACAAGCATCTTCCACATCCACAACACTGAGCCCAGAATGTTTTCGTTACCTCTCAAAGAAACCTTATGTCTATTAGCAGTCATTCCCCTACCCCTCATCTTCCAGCAAGCAGGCTAGAGGAATAGTTGTGAAATGTGCTGGTTCTTTTACATTGTCTTTGCACCTTGCACCCTGAGACACAAGGAGGTAAGAATGTGTTACGTGCTAGTAAGATTTACATGTATGTAAGATTAAAAATAGATTATTCAAACAGTTCCCTTTCTACCCTACTCTATCCTGTTGGCTCGCCCATTCTTTTTTTTCTTTTTTCAGGACATGGTCTCCCTATGTAGTGCAGAGTCTCACCATATAGTGCCTTAAACTCATAATGTAGCCCAGGCTGGCCTCAAACTCACAGCAGTTCTCTTGCCTCAGCCTCCCAGGAGCTGGGATTACAGGTGTGCACCATCATGCCCAGCTCCCATTCTATTCTTTTTTTTTTGGTACTGGGAATTGAACCAGGGCTCCATACTCATAAAAACAAGGGTTAAAGTTGTAGCTCAGTGTGAAGGCCCTGGGTTCTATCCCCAGTACACCCAATAAATAAATAGGGTTAGAGCCTGGTGTGGTATAACAATTCCAGCACTTGGGAGGCTGAGGCAGGAGAATTGCCAGTTCAGAACTAGTCCTGGCTACATAGTGAGTTCAGGACCACCTGAACTACCTAGTGAGAACTGTTTTTTTGTTTGTTTGGTTTTTTTTTTTGGGTCTTTTTGAGATGGTCTCGCTGTGCAGTTCAGGCTGGCCTTGAGCTCACTTTGTAGCCTAGGCTGGCCTCAAACTCTCAGTGATCCTCCTGCTTCAGGCTGAGAACTGTTTTTAAAAAAGGAAAAAAGAAGAAGAAGAAGAAAGGTTGGAAATGCAGGTTAGATATAGAGTGGTTCATGTGCAAGTGCTTGGGTTCAATCCCCAGTACCAAAACACACATAAAACAACCTTTGGATGGGTAATATATCAAACTGTTAAAATGGCTTGGATTAGAGAAGGGGAGGAAAAGATGTGTCTTGTTTACTTTGTATAGCTCTGTATTACTGGATTTTGTTTATAGACAGTGCTTTTTTAGGAAGAACACACATATATTATTTGAGTCAGTATCTTAGATGTGTTCACTTCCTGCATATCATTTTAGGGACTAGTGCTTAAAGTATTTAACTTTTTGCAAATTTGTTATACAAGGATTTGTGCTAGGCTTCTGTAAACACTAAGGTGCTGTTTCTAACGTTTCAAAGTTACTCATCTTTGTTTGTTTTCTAGTGAGTTGTTCTCCCCCTCTCAGAAGTACCAGCTTCTGGTGTATCATGCAGACTCTCTGTTTCATGACAAGGAATATCGGAATGCTGTGAGCAAGTATACCATGGCTTTACAGCAGAAGAAAGCCCTGAGTAAAACTTCAAAAGTGAGACCTTCAACTGGAAATTCTGCATCGACTCCACAAAGTCAGGTAATTGAACGTAGAATTGTGACTTTTGTTCTTGTTTGTTTTTTGGAGAAAGACTAAAAAATTTTTTTTCTTTTGCTGGGCTTAAATCCAGGGCAGTGTGTGTGTGCGAAGACAAGTGTTCTATCATTGAGCTATACCCTGAGCTCCAAGACTAAACTAATTTAGACAATGGCAAAGATTAGACATAGAAGATGATAAAATAAGTACCTAAAAGGGGAACTGATAAAAAAAATAATAAATAAAAGGGGAGCTGACTGAAGAGACAAAAACTACTGAGATGCAAGAATGTGTCCAGTGATTGATCTTCATCTCATATTTCTCTTTCTGTGAAACCTTTGCTTTCTGACACTGAATGGAAGTTTTATAAATATATATATCATTCAGATAAGATGGTTCCTAAACATAGTTAACATTAGCTGGGTATTAGAGATGTGGTGCACATCTCTAATCTTAGCACTCAGGAGGATGAGACAGAAGGATTGCCATGAGCTTGAGGCCAGCCTGGGTTAATAGTAAGTTCAAGACCCTGTCTAAAAAAACAAAAACAAAAACAGCTAACATTTAATTAGTATTCAGTGTGTCAAGCATCATGCAAAACTTTTTGAATACATGGAACCATCTTGGATTTATTTTTATTTCTTCATTGTTTTTTTGAGACAGGTATGCACCACCAGACCCAGTTTCCTTTTTTTTATTATTATTTTTAAAGACAGGGTCTTGCTATGTAGTTCAGGCTTTCCTTGAACTCGCTATTGTGTATCCCAGGCTGGCCTCAAACTTGCTGTGATCTTCCTGTCTCAGCTTCCCAACTGCTGAGATTATAAGCATGTGCCACCACATCTGGTTTGTTTCATTTTACATTTTTTTGACACGGAGTCTCAGTAGTTGAGGCTGGCCTGGGGTTCGTTATGTAGCACAGGCTGCCCTTGAATTTGGGATTCTCCTGTCTCATCCTCCTAAGTGCTGGGGTTACAGGCTTATACCACCATGCCCAACTGGAACTTTTTAAATAATTGAGATACGTATCTCATGTGCCTCTCAAAGTATAATTTCATAGGCATAGTCACAAGATTGTGCAACCGTGAATACTGTCTCATTTCTGAAATTTTTCATTATCCTAGAGAGAATCCCATGTGTTTTAACACTTAGTCCACATTCTGATTCCTCCTTCCACCCCTGGCAGTCACTAACCTTTGTCTTTCTTTGTACTTACCTATTCTGGGCATTTTCTATGAACAGATTGTACAGTATGTGACCTCCTGTGTCTGGCTTCCTTCACTTAGCATGTTATTTTTAAAGTTGATTTGTTACACCATGAATTAGCTCTTTGTTTTTGTTTTTGTTTTTTGAGACAGGGTCTCATTACATAGTACAGGTTGGCCTTAAATTCGCTATGTAGCCCAGGCTGGCCTTGAACTCAATAATCCTCCTGCCTTAGCCTCTGGAGCGCTGGGACTACAGGCCTGTGCCACCACACCCGGCCATAGATCCATTCTTTATTTCTTGTTGCTGTCAGATATTCCATTGTGTGGAAGGGCCACATTTTGTTTACCTATTCATAGTTAAGGGACATTGATTGTTTCTACTTTTTGCCCATGAAAAATGCTGCTGTGAACATTTGAATACAAAGTTTTTTCTGGATATCTGTTTTCAGTTCTTTTGACTATATTCCTGAATCTTATAACCTTGTGTTAACTTTTTGAAGGAGTGTCATATTGAAGAGATACAGAACGAATGCCACACATTTTGAATAGATGTGTTCCTTGTCTTTTAGTGTCTTCCCTCAGAAATAGAAGTGAAATACAAAATGGCTGAATGTTATACAATGTTAAAACAAGATAAAGATGCTATTGCTATACTTGATGGGATCCCCTCAAGACAGAGAACTCCCAAAGTAAGTTGAACTCACAGATTGTTTACAAATTTTTCTCCTCCCCAGCCAGCTTCCTCCATGCTTTCTTTCTGCATTAGGAAGTGCAGCTGAGCCTTTTACTCCTGACTCTAACTCTCACTTTCTTCCTCTGTTAATGGAGTGGGGGTTGAGAGAAATGGATGAAGGATATTCTTTTGTTTGTTTGGTTGCTTGGGGTTTTTTTGTTTTGTTTTGTTTTGTTTTGTTTTGTTTTTGGTCTTTTTGAAACAGGGTTTTACTATGCACTTCAGGCTGGCCTTGAAATCCCAGCAGTCGAGCCTGGCCTGGTGGCACACACCTGTAATCCTAGCACTCAGGAGGATTGTTGCGAGTTCGAGGCCAGCCTGGGTTACAAAGTGAGTTCAAGACCAGACTGAACTGCATGGTGAGACCCTGTCTCAAAAAGACAAAAAAAAAAAAAAAGGAAAAGAAAAGAAATCACTGTGATCCTCCTGCCTCAGCCTCTTGAGTACTGGGATTACAGGCGTACACCACTGCACCTGACTCAATCCTTAAGAGTCCCTTAAAATTCATTTGATACAAATGATAGCTGGACAATAAATGCTACAAGTGCATATTCTTTTTTTATTTCTTGCTGTAGGGCATAGTGCTTTGCAGAACACTACTGCAGCCAGATGTGGCACACACCTGTAATCCCAGTACTCAGAGGCGGAGGCAGGAAGATTGCAACTTTGAGCCAGATCTGGACAGTTTAATGCCTTAGCAGGATCTTGTCTCAAAATAAATTTTAAAGAAAGGCTGGGGCTATAGCTCAGTCTGAAGGCCCTGGCTTCACTACCCAGCACCACAAAAACAAAACAAAAAACTTCCATGTGGCAAAAACACTTTTTTAGAGCCTCATTTTTTTGCATTCCATAGGGGTACCAATTGGATAATGGGAATGATTTTCTTAATCCTTTCATTTTCAAAATCAAGACTACAAAACCTCTTTGTGCTTGCTTATGGGTGGAATATATGTTTGTGTTTGATTTGGCATCATATTATAGTAAGGATTATACCTTTAACTGAAATCAGAATACTAGGATCTTTGAGCTTAAGGCGTATGAGTTATATGCAGTGTGAACTTCAGCAAGTTACCAGTTTCTGAGCCCCTTCCCCTTTATAAAGTGAGGATAATAGTGTTTTCTCTATATGCAAAAGTTCCTCTTTTTTTTTTTTTTTGCATGTTGTGAGTCCAACCCATGACTTGGTGTGTACTAGGGAAATGCTCTACTGGTGTAACTCTCACAATGAGCTACGCTCCTAGCCACATATCCACCCTGTATATAACCAAGGGCTTGCGCGTGCTGGGCAATTTTTAGTAGACACGGTCTTGCTATGTAGTGAAGCTGGCCTTGAACTCATAATTGTCCTGCCCCAGCCTCCCAATGCCGGTACTGAAGTCACACATCATCACACTCGGGTGCTTTGACAATACTTTTTAAGGAACCTTCCAGAAAGAGTAGATTGATGACTATCAGATTTTTGTTGGTTTTGCTTTTTGTATTTTTGAGAGAGTCTTACTGTGTAGTTCAGGCTGGCTTTGAACTCACTGTGCAGCCCATGCTGGCCTCAAACTCTCAGCAGTCCTCCTGACTCAGCCTCCCAAGTGCTGAGATTACAGATGTGTGCCACCATACCTGGCTATCAAGTTTTGTTTTGTTTTGTTTTGTTTTGTTTTTTTCAAGTTTTTTTTTTTTTTAAGTCCAGTTTAAATCCTTGTTATTGGGCTGGGGATACAGCTCAGTGGCACAAGCGCCTGCCTGGCAAATGCAAGGTCCTGAGTTCGATCCCCAGTGCTGCAAAAAAAAAAAAAAAAAGTAGGATCATCTAAATCCTTGTTACTAAGGTTGAATACATATCAGTATTTAATATTCTAACGTACACCCTCATGTCACTTGTCCTTCTCATTTTTTGAAAAATTTATGTGCAACTTGTGTTTAACAGTAGGGTAGATGTCTGTATATATCCTGCTATCCTCAAAACACAAGGAATCTAACCAGTAGGGGACTTGTGAATTTTAGTTAATACTTCATCTAAATATTGGTAACTTTTAGGCTGGGTGTGGTGGTGCCACCTGTAATCCCAGCACTCAGGAAGCTGAGGCAGGAGGATCATTGTGCGTTCAAGGCTACTCTGGACTGCAAGTGAGTTCAAGGCCAGCCTGAACTGCATAGTGAGACCTTGTCTCAAAATACCCCCCCCCAAAAAAAATGTATGTGTGTGTGTAAGTTTCATCTAAATATTGGTAACCAAACTTGATGAGAAGATATTTAAGCACTTCCTCATATTAAGGAACCTTTTACTATTTTGAGTGTTGAGGTGCGTGTGTGTGTGTGTGCTGTGAGTGTGCACATGCATTAAGGGTGGAACCCAGGGCCTCAAGCGTGCTGCATTTATGGCATCCCACTGGGCTATAGCCCCAGCCTTATTTTCTGAGTTTTAACTAAGATGTTTCCTAGGTATATTTTATGGTGATGCCTTTTGTTAAAAACACGTGGAAATATATCATTGATTAACCTGTCTTACAACAAACTTGACTGCCAGGGCTTTTTGTTTTCGTTCATTTTGAGACAGGCCCTTGTTAAGTTGCCCGTACAGGACTCAAACTTGAAATTCTCCCGTGTCCCCATGCCTCAGTGCTGGGATTACATGCGTGAGTTACCATGTGTGCCTAGTTAGGTGCTAGATATTAAATTGTGTTTTAAGATCCTAGGAAAGTCCTTTTACCCTAAGCATAATTTTTTGCATATATGAGGAATGTGTGCTGCTATACTCAGTGTGTCTTGTTTTTAGAAGAAGCTGCTTTTGCAGTAGGGAAGAGGGGCTTGTACACACTAGGCAACTCTGCCACTGTGCTTTATCCTCACCTCTTCTTATGTATTCTTTTTATTTTGAATAGGGTCTTCCTAAACTGCCTGTGCTGGGCTCATATTCCCCTCCTTGGTCAGCCTCCCAAGTATCTGGGATTGCATATGTGCGCCACTACGCCTGGCTCAAGAAGCCATTTTTATTATAAACATTGAATGATACTGTTACATGTTTTATTAGAAATACACCGTAATTTCCTTCATAATGACCTGCAGGTGTTTGGGGACGTATCTTTAGACAGTGAGGAATGCGGAGACACTCGGCTTTGTGGCATCCGGTGCTTTGTGCTTACAGCCATCGTTCTTAGAGGGACTCGGTGGTGGTTAGGGGTACATACCCTCCTTGCATTAGAGCTCTTGTAGACAAACAAACAAACGTGTGTGTCTCAAAAATAAACCTATAGTATTTACAGTTTTCTTTCTTGTCTGCTAGGGAGTTAACTGGCTTCTCAGTCTGTGTAAAGGACAAGGAAGTGAGTCAAAATACGTCCACTTGAACATCTCTTGATGTATGGTAAACACCACCACACACTCCCTCACATTTTAAAGGGAAGTTCCAGTGTTAGATTATTATATCTTGGTAAATCTTCAGTTTTTTAAAAGTAAACATACCAACGTACAGTTAAGATCTATTCTGAAAAGAATTGACTTTTTCATTAGGAAGTACTTGAAACTCATTCTTTCAGAGAGACAGTCAAGTAATTTAAAGGAAATTTAGTATTTGTTGAGGTTGTGTTTTTTTGGTTTTTTTTTTTTTTGAGACAGGGTTTCACTATGTGATTCAGGCTGAGCTTGAACTTACTATGTAGCCCAGGTTGGCCTTGAACTCATGGCAATACTTCTGCCTCAGCCTCCTGAGTGCTGGGATTATAGGTTATTGAGATTTCTTCAGTTTGTTAATAACAAGCAAAGAATGATCTTAACTTTTTAGTCTTTTGAAGTGTTGATACCCTGTAATCTTAGCACTCAGGAGGCTGAGGCAGGAGGATCGCAGCAAATTTGAGGTCAGCCTGCGCTACGTAGTGAACTCAAGGTCAGCCTGAGCTACATAGCAAGACCTTGTCTCTAAAAAAGGAGGGGGCTAAAATGGAATATCTGAAGCCACATGAAAAATAATTTTACCTCTAGTGTTTTATTATTTCATTGCTTGAATTAGTGTGGATTAATGCTATGCGAAACATTTGTATAATATAGGTCTGTAATTAGAACAGATGTTTTTCCGAGCCTTTTTGGGGGGGTACCAGGAATCAAACTCAGGACCTTGCCCGTCCAGGCAGGCAGTGTGCCACTGAGCTAAGTCCCTGGCCCTTCAGGGCCATTGTTTTCTTTCTTTTTTGGTTGTTTTATTTTGCAGTACTGAGGATGGGAACCCAAGGTCTTGCACGTGTTAGGCAAGCACTGTACCACTGAGTTGCATTCCCAGCTCTTTTTTAAAATTTGAGATGAGTCTGGCTAAGCTGCCCAGATAATTGAAGTTACAGTATAGTGGTACCTCGGGTCATGGACACTCTTTTTTCTTTTTTTTTTTTTTTGTACCAGGAATCAAACTCAGGACCTTGCTCTTGCCAGGTAGGCACTTGTGCCGCTGAGCTACGTCCCCAGCCCTTTTTTTTTTGTCTTTTTGAGGCAAGGTCTCACTATACAGTTCAGGCTGACCTTGAGCTCACTTTATAGCCCACACTGATCTCAAACTCACCATGGTCCTCCTGCCTCAGCCTCCCAAGTGCTGGGATTACAGGCATTTGCCACCACACCTGGCTCATGAACATTTGTTTGCAAACAATTTGGTTTGCAAACAGAAGCATTTGGCAGAATTTTGTTTTTCTTCGCACTGAGTGGCAAATACAAATCTGGCCATCTTTTCCAAAATCAGAAAACAAATTAAATTTGTGAGCTAAGGTACACTGTATTGAGGATTTTTTCCTTTGTGTCCTCATATTGACTGCTCCCTTAGTTTAATGATTTTCCCAATCACCGTGTTATAGTTAAGATCTATTTATTTTATTTTGTTTTAAAAATTAATTTGTTTGGTTTTGAGACAGAGCCTTACTATGTTGTTCACACTGTGCTTATATGTAACCCAGGCTGATTTTGAATTTGTAGTGATCCTTCTGCCTCAGCCTCCAAATACTGGGATTGCAGGTGTGTGCCACCACACCTGGCAAGATCTTTTAATTTTATTTATTCATTCATGTATTTATTTATTTATTTGTGTCTTTTTGAGATAGGGTCTCACTTTGCCGTTTAGGCTGGTCTTGAGCTCACTTTGTAGCCCAGGCTGATCTCAAAGGTGCAACATCCTTCTCCCTCAGCCTCTATAGTGCTGGGATTACAGTACGGGGATTGCAGGCATGCACCACCATGCCTGGCTTTCTTTGTTTTAAAGACCAGGGTTTGTCTTTTTTTATTTGCATAGGGCTGTTGGTAGATTTCCAGTAAAAAGTAAAATAGTGGCTGTTAATAAAAACCAGAACTTTTTCATGGTGAGATACTTTCTTTGCAGATGCACTTACTTTACTGTTCTTTCTTTTTGCTTATACAGATAAACATGATGCTGGCAAACCTGTATAAGAAGGCTGGTCAGGAGCGCCCATCAGTTACCAGCTACAAGGAAGTATTGAGGCAGTGCCCACTAGCCCTGGATGCCATTCTAGGTATAGATAATTCTCTGCCATTTCCCTGTCAGAGAGAGTAATTCTCAGTTCATGGGTGTACGTTAGGATAGATTATTTTAGAAAAGTTCCCTGTAGGCCAGGCGTGGGAATGCACACCTGTAATCTTAGCACTAAAGGAGTCTGAGGCAGGAGGACTGCAAGCTTGAGGCCTGCCTGGACAGTTTAGTGAGACTCTATTGCAGAAGAAGAAATAGCCAGGCGTGGTGGCACATACCTATAATCGCAGCACTCAGGAGGCTGAGGCAGGAGGATCACTGAGATTTCAAGGGTAGCCTGAGCGACATAGCATGTCTCAAAAAACCATAAATGAATGAATAGGCTGCAGGTGTAGTTCAGTGGTACAGCACTCCTTGGGTTGATCCCCAGTACGGCCAGGAAAAAAAGAAATCCCCTACATTGTCATATATTTTTGTTTGTTTTTTAATTAATTACGTTGGTACGTTTTAGGTATACATAATGATCACATTCATCATAGGGAATTTGTGCCTGTACGTGATAAAATTTGATTCTTTTTTTACCCCATCCCTTCAACCCCTCTTCCCTTCCTTATTTACAAAAGCTTTGTTTCCATTTTTTCCTCCTTTTGTGATTTTTTTTTTCTTTCCTTTCCTTGCCCCTCTTCCCTAGTTCCCCTTCCCATTTGAACATTTTCTTCCTCTTTCACAATATCTATTACACATTTCGGACTTTATTTACACTTTCAGTTTCTCACACCAGAGAAACAATGCAGTATTTATTTACACATGTGTATCTGATGTATTGCACTTAAGAGTATGGTCTCAAGGTGCATCCATTTAGCTAGAAATGTCCCAAGCTTGCCTTCCTCTGTGGCAGAGTAGTACCCTGTCATATAAAAATTCACATCTTCTGTATCCATTCATCAGCTGATGGTTATTTTTGCTGTCTTCAGTATTTAGCTATACAGACTGTGCTGCTGTAAGCATAGGTGAGCATGCATTGCTGCACTGGCTTGTAATGCATCAGGAAATACTAAATAACCTTGTGGGCCTGAGGGTGTAGCTCATGATAGGTTATATGCTTATGCGGGAGGCCCTTGGTTCCATCCACATCACCAAAAATTAATAATTAAATTACAGTTTTCTTTTTTTTTTTTTTTGAGACAAGGTCTCCCTATTATAGTCCAGGCTGGCCTTGAACTCAGTGTATAGCCCAGGCTGGCCCTGAACTCACAATGATCCTCCTGCCTGTGTCCCAGTGCTGGGATTATAGGCGTGCACCACCACACCTGGCTAGGTTAAATTAGGTTTTCTGTCACATGCATGTTGATCAGAATAGGGAAGGGGTTGCCTTGTATCCTGCAAAAGTGTAGCTTGTTCCTTGCACTGTGGAAGAGGGATGGTGTTCCTCACCTTCTTTCCCCTGCTTTCTGTTGGGCTAGGTTTGCTGTCCCTTTCTGTGAAAGGTGCCGAGGTGGCATCGATGACAATGAATGTGATCCAGACCGTGCCTAACTTGGACTGGCTCTCTGTGTGGATCAAGGCATATGCTTTCGTGCATACTGGCGACAACTCAAGGGCAATCAGCACCATCTGGTGAGAGCCACAGCGTTAGCTTAGTGCTCTGGAGGCCCCTGTCTGGAGGTCTCGTGCTTACATTGGCAGCGCAGAGAGATGAGACACTTCTCAGTGTTGCAGCCAGTCATCTTTGGGTTGTGTTATTCTTGTAATGTCCTGAATGGTTGAGAACCTGATTGTCTCCATTGGAAACCCTTAAAAATGTAAAACTGGACTGAACTCAGTTCTGTATGTGCAGAAATCTACCCCATTTAAGAGTAGTTCAGCTTGGCATGATGGTGCACTCCTGTAATCCCAGTGCTCAGGGGGCTGAGACAGGAAGATCGCCATGAGTTCAAGGCCAGCCTGTATTATATAGCAAGATCCTGTCTTAAAAATAAAACAGAACAAAAAAAGAGTAGCCCAGTAACCAAGAAGAACATGGCAACTTAATGAGACTCTTTTTGTTGCTTTTAACTAAAGGTTTGGGGGTATAGTTCATTGTGAAATTCCGGGTTCATTCCCCAGTACTACCAAAAAAAAGGCTGGGCATGGTAGCACACTCCTGTAATCCCAGCACTCAGGAGCTGAAGGAGGAGGATTGCTGCAAGTTCAAGGCCAGCCTGGGCTACAAAGTGAGAAAGCAAGTTCAAGGCCAGCCTGAATAGTGAGACCTTGTCTCAAAAAGATAAAACAAAAAAGTCTGCTGAAGCATGGAAAAAACCTTTCTGGTCTCCTCACAAACTTAGTTTGATGCAGCACCTAACCTTTTTATTCAGATAGAGTCCTAGGACAAGAAGTTAGGGACTTGTTTGGTGCAGAGTCAACAGTTAAGCAATAAATAGCTGTCGCTTGTGAGTGACATTCCATTCAGTACTGTGTTTAGTTTACCCTCTGAAAAACCATAACCAGAAAGTTTTTAGGTAGGGAGCGGTATCTGATTTATTTACTATCCTAACAAATGCAACTTTTTTAAAGCCATAAGCTCAGAATAAAAAAAATCTAGTGTACATAGTCCCTTTAAAAGTTTTTTAGCCAGATGTGGTGGCACATGCCTATAATCCCAGTATTCAGGAGGCTGAAGCAGGAGGATCACCACAAGTTAGAGGCCAGCCTGTGCTACAGTAAGTTCAAAATCAGCCTAGACTGTATAGGGAGACCTTGTCTCAAGTGCAAAAACAATTTTTTTTTATTCTTCAAATTTTTGTTACACTTTTGCCTGTTGCTTATAACTGCTTGGGACTCATTTAGGTAACAAATTGTTATGCTTCAAATTGTTATGCTTTTGCCTGTTGCTTATAGTTGCTTATGCTTTGTCTGTTATGCAGTTCCGTTAAAATGTTGATAAATCTCAGTTAGAACATGGAAAGGTTATAAGGTTATGATATTTCTTTGATGGGACATTTTATTCCTGTTCTGGCATATGTTGGTATATGTTGTGTTTGATGAGTTTGAACGAGTTGCTAAATGTGCTGGTTTTCCTTGCTTGATGTTATTTAGCTCGGGAGAGTAATGTTAGAATGCTCTTAGTGAACTTTGATATAAACTGTAAGATGGGCCTTTTAAGTCTAGCTCAGACTTAGTAAAGAACTCTAGACTAAGTTCCAACTAAGTTAAGTCCATAGAAGATGAGCATTTGTTAACGCCGAAGACAGGGAAGTCACCTTAGAGAAAGAACACATACCCTGTCTCTGGGTCAGATGAGACATTGGAGTTTTGTCTGGCCAGGAGAACACACATAAAAGCCATGTCCCGGCTTAGTGTTCTGGGCAGGTCTCCCTCGGGAGGCTGAACCTGAGACAGTGGAGAGAACCGACTTCTGGGTGACACAGGAAGGAGCTGTCTCCACAAGCAGCACACCTCTGGGACCAAAACATACTTGGTCTAAGGGAGGATCTCCAACCTTTCCTCTTCTCCTAGGTCTAGTGCTAGGCAATCTTGCTCAGGCTTTTAACTATCCCTTGTAGAATTCTGACAGACAGTGGTCACTCTGCCAGCTAGTTAAGCGCTCTTAGAGCAGCTGCCACTCTTTTAAAGCAGAGGACAGGTTTCCCCAGCATCTCTTCGGTGAATCCCCATTGAAGCCAATGGCTGATGGAATGTGGACCAGACAGAGAGCTGGATTCCTTTCTGGAGACTGAGCTTGGTTGTGTGGGCCAATAGAAACTGAGAACAACAGGGTCATGGCCAGGGCTACTCTCTGGCGGACACCCAGAGGTTCCTCGGTGGAGACGGCTCCTGGCCGCTGAAAAAGCTGCACTTACCTGTTGTACTTATCTCTCTCTGCCGGTAGACTAGGAATTCTCCCTCAAATTTTTTTTATTATGAAAAACACAGAAAATAGTATCTGTATGTTAGTATTCCAGATTCAGCAATTAAGTATTACAAAAGAAAAACAAAAACCTTAAGTATTTATAATAGATTTTAAGGTTCAATGTTTAATGTTTTAAGTTCACTAGAGAAAAAGTCCTTATTGCGAGATAATGTGGACTTGCTGGGAAGCTTAGCAGATCTGTACTTCAGAGCTGGAGACAGTAAGAACTCTGTCCTCAAGTTGGAGCAGGCTCAGATGCTGGACCCCTACCTGATAAAAGGTGAGTCATTCCTGGGGCGGGGCAGGGGGGCTGTGGAGGGGCAGGTCAGAGAAGACAGGCAGGAAGTGCAGTGTGAACTGATACTGTTTTTCAGTACAGTGCAGTTTTTGTTATAGTAAGTAGTCTTTTACTTTTTTAAGGTCCTGACATGTCTCTAACACTTTGGTAATTCCATTTTGAGCAGTTATTTTTGCTTGAATTCAAGGGTCATCTCCTTGCACACCATCGTTTGGCTTTATTTCTTTGGGTGGGGGGGTCATACCCCCTCCTTATGAATTACACATTTATGATGTGCCAGTCTGAGAATTTGCATGACAACCTCAGAATCATAATATCCTTTTAGGGAATTTTACATGTCCACAGTAGAAGTAAGATGGATAAGGAAACAAGTGTTAAGAAAGGGATAAGGCTACTTGGGAGGCTGAGGCGGAGGCAGGAGGACTGCCTTGAATTTGAGGCCAGCCTGGGCTACACACTGAGACCTTGTCTTGAAAAACCAAGAAAAAAAAAAGAAAAGAAAAGTGGATAAGGTGCCAGGCATGCGCTACATGGCTGTAATCCCAGTAGTTGGGAAGCTGAGGCAGGAGGATTGCCCTGAGTTCGAGCCCACCTTGGGCTTCTTAGTTCAAGACCAACCTGAACTACATAGTGAGACCCTATCTCAAAAAGGGGTGGGGGAGATAAGGTGATTCAAGGGAGTAGTTAGTAGCAAACAACTACTGATGTGCAATCAGAAGACCGCACTGATGCAGTGAGGACAGGGACCGCACAGGCTGGCTGGTGGCGGCTGGCCATGTGTGGGCCGTGAGTGCTCAGAGTGTTGGGGGCTAGGGTCAGAGAGGCTGACCTCTGATAGTAAGGCCCAGAAAAGGCCATATGAAAAAGACACCTCGTGACGATAAGTAGTTCTGTAGGCTCTCGAGAGACTGAGCAAGGAGGCAGCCTTCACAGGCAGGCAGACGAGAACAGATACAGGAGGGTCAGCTTGTTTACGGAAGGTCTCCCTCCTGCCCAGTGCTTAGTTCTCCTCTCCATGCTGCCCACGCCCATGAGGAAAGTGGTGTAAAGTGCTAGTCTGAGGCCAGCCTGGGCTGCATAGTGAGACCCTGGCTAAAACAACCAGAGAAAAAGTGCCAGTCCGGAGGTAGTGACAGTGGCAGGTTGGAGTCGGAAGCTAAGTCCCAGGGCCTGCAGGGGTGTTGCTCTAGTCTTGGCCTGAGAGGCGTTTTTGTGGGAGTCAGAAGGGATAGCAAGGAGTGGAGGAGGGTGGTGGGGGTAGGGGTGACGGCACGCTTAGGGCTCTCTGCAGAGCGTGAGAGTAAGGAAAGGGGCTAGCAGACAGGTGGAATATTAGCAGGGTGGCTTTCTTTATGAACTATGTTCCAGAATGATCTACAAGCCTTTCCCGGAGTAAGCCGGCTTGTGAGAGTAACCTGGCCTTTTCACCGTACCAAGTGTATTCCTCACTGCCAAGGGCTCTAGGAGACAGCACTTCCTTGATACCTTTTTTGGGTGTTTTCTGGTTATGAGTTTAGGATAGCTGTGTATATCACACCACAGGTACTGGGACAACAGTTCATGACAGTAACAGCTTTGCAGATTGTGAGGCCGGTCTATCTGCTCCTTTGCCTTCCTTGTTTTGGATGGGCTTTGCTTTTTAATAGTCATTTTGTTGGATGGCAACGCTGGTGGAGGAGCCTGTGATGATGGAAGGGCTTGAACCCTGCAGCAGCCAGGACCTCGGCTTGAGCTCTGCTTGGTGATCCCTACCTCTTTGTTAAGGACGCTGCTGCTTTAATGAAAGGGTCTCATCATGTCCTTCCTTTTAGGGATGGATGTGTACGGCTACCTCCTGGCACGCGAAGGGCGGCTGGAGGACGTGGAGAACCTTGGCTGCCGCCTTTTCAATATTTCTGATCAGCATGCGGAGCCCTGGGTGGTCTCTGGGTATGTATGTGTGTTTGCTTTTCTCCCAGTCTTGATTGGATTCTTCAGGTGATTGTGGTGTCTCTTAGAGTATTGGTTAAAAGCAGAGGTAACCGGACCTGGCTCACATCGTGCCCTGTGACTTCAGGTGCACATGCGCCTCTTGAGTGTTTCTTACGTAGAGAAGGGTCACTAATCCCTGCTTAAAGGAGATGGTGAGCGCCCCAGTGACAGGGCTAGAGGTGCTCCTTTATCAGCCTCAAAGCTGGGCATAGCTCAGTAATAGAGGTTCACCTAGCTTGTGTAGGGCCCTGGGTTTGATCCTCAGGGCCACAAAATAAAAGTGCGTGAACCTATGTTGTAATTGAGCTGGTTTTACAAATCCTTCAAATGTCTCTTAGCTCATAACTTACCGGGTTGGCTCTCTTCCTGATTTTTCCCTTGGTGGCACACACCTGTAATCCCAGCACTTGGGAGGCTGAGGCGGGAAGATGGGCCAGCCTGGGCTTCATCAAGGCCAGCCTGAACTATATAGTGAGACCCTGTCTCAAAAAAACAAGGTGAAAATATTTAGTGGACCTTTTAGTTTATTTTGTTTTTTTACTAACAGGTTACAGCCATGAGTGTGGTTTGTAATAAGAATCATGTATAGGATGTTCTCTTTGATTTATGGATGAAGTTTCTGCATAGTCCTGTCAGATAACTGCGGATATCCCTGCACTAGGTGTCACAGCTTCTATAGCAAACGCTACTCTCGGGCCCTCTACCTGGGAGCCAAGGCCATTCAGCTGAATAGTAACAGTGTTCAAGCCTTGCTACTTAAAGGAGCAGCACTTAGGAATATGGGCAGAGTCCAGGAAGCAATCATCCATTTCCGGGAGGCCATAAGACTTGCACCTTGTCGCCTGGATTGTTACGAAGGTAAGGGAGCAGTGTGACTCCGCGGGCCACTGCACGCAGCTGGAAAGTTTTATTCGGCCAGCGTGTCCCAACTGTTGTACATTAGAATTGCCTGGGGAAGCTCTGAAACCATCAAGCTGCCAGGTGACTGGGCAGAGATGGAACATGGAGGCACTGCTGGTTTTTGAAGATCCCTGTTGGTGCCAGTATGCAAACAGGTTTGAGAGTTACTGCATCAGGTATATTACATCCAGTTGGGCTTTCACTAGAATTTTCACCCCATACTTTTTGGAATCTATTTTTCTTATTATTCAGGGGTGGGTGGTTTTTTGGTTTATTTTTGAGTCAGGTTCTCACTATGTAGTGTAGGCTGGCCTTGAGTTCATTATTTAGCCCAGGCTGACCTCAAACTCACAGTGATCCTCCTGCCTCAGCCTCCCGAGTGCTGGGATTACAGGGGTATGCCACCATGCCCGGCATATTTTTTTAATGCTTTGTGGGTTTTTTTGTTTTTGTTAGTTTTTGTTGACAGAATAGTTAGGTACTTCATCCTTTTTTTTTTTTTTCTGCTTCCGATATGGGCAGGTGATTAATGAGAACGTGTCAGGCCCTGAGCTAGATTGCTTGGCTATGTCTTTGTTGTTTTTTCACAATTGTCTTACTCTGTGGAGAGCTAATTACTCACAGGGTAGCTGCATGTCCAGGAGGCAGCATGGGCTGTGGGAACCAGGCTGTCTGTCATGACCTCCGCGGGGGTGTGACTGGGGTCCAGCTTTGTTCAGTTATGTAAGGTTTCAAGTTCATGTGAAGTGACCCTCGGAGTTCAAAGGAGCTGTGCCAGCTTCAGCAACGTTTGGTGACTCAGTCACAGACACTAAAATAGATCGTACAAGATGCAGTTTCTCTAAAACATATTTTTACAAGAATTTAAAAATAAACCTAGGAATGTAAGAGTTATTTGCTCTTAACAGGAAGATAAGTTCAAATTTGAGAAAATGTGGATGTTGGAGGAAAGAACAAATCTGCTTATATAGCCAGAGTGGTGGGCCTCTTGTGGGCTTGTGCGGGGAAGGGAGGTTGTCTTTGTTCTGGAAAGAGCTCTAGGGAACCAAGCCTCTGCTGTGAGGTGAACTTCTTAATCCTGAAACGGTAGCTCCCCTGGCCTCGCAGCAGCGTTGATCCTGCTCGCTCCTTTCTGCCGCGTGCCTGTCACCAGAGTCGGGGTGCTGGTGGGCAGTGCTTGGTTGAGGAGTGTGGAAGCATTTGAGGCAGAGAATGTTCCCCAGCTGGCCAAGTGGGGCCCCCTGGGCTGCTTTCTCTCGGGCTGTCCTGTGGAGGTTGGACCAAGGTGACTGGTTTTGTCCTTCGGCGCTCTCAGTGGCACTCCCTCCCTTTGCTGGTGCACGCTCTTCACTTGTGAGTGTGTGTGTGTAACGCTGGGGACTGAAGCAGGGCCTTGGCGTGCTAAGCACACGTTCTGCTGCTGGGCTGTACCCTAGCCCGTGAAGGGCATTCTTCCAGTTTCCTTCCAGAGTTCCATGGGGCTTTAGCAGAGAAGTAAAACTACGCAGTAAGTACTTGTAAACAACTTTACTTGGAGTCTCATGTGTTGCCCTTAAGAGTTAGGTAATTCTGGTTAAGTAACTAAAGTGTGGGGAAGAACGTGCACAAATGTTATAGATGCTGCTAGGGTGGAGGAGTGTGCAGAGAAAATCTGCCAGGGATTGTGTGGGTTTGGGGTTTAAGCTGTTTTTCTGTTTTGATGAGTGTACTGTGCCAGAAAGTTCCTCCTCGGTTCTCAACTTCTTGGCATGAAGAGTTGAGTTGAGTTTTTTTAGTGGAGGGGCAGGTATGGGGAATCGAACTCAGGACCTAACGCTTGCCAGGCCGGCACTGTGACACTGAGCTAAATCCCTTGGCCCGAGTTGACTTTTTTTGAAGTGACCTTTTAGGGTATTTTGCTGTTGGTATGAAGAGAGGTTGGACCTGCCATTCGCAGTGTGTTGGGTCGGTCTGACTGAAGTGCTTTCCTTGCTGTGCAGGGGAGCCCTCGGCAAGGCCTTGGAGATAGCTTTGTTGTTTCAGGTGGGGGAGTCTGCCTGCCTTCCTACACGGCTTGATAGTATACAGTCTTTAGTTTGCAGGGTTGGACATGTATTGTTGAGCCTCCCTCACCCTACAGGTGACTGACACAGCCGGAAATAAGGGCTTAAGAGGAAGTGGAACTTTGGTTCCTTGGAAACGTCACCTCTCACTGCTTTAATCTCCTGGCCGTGCAGCAGAGTAATGATCAGTGTCACATGTGTTCGTTAGCGTTCGGATGGGCTGCCCGCAGGCTGCCGTCTCCTCACTGACGGGAGGTGCCTTTGCGGGGCAGGTGCTGCGAGGAAGAGCGCTTGGTACCGTTCCATCAGCGTGGCCTCCGGTCCAGTCTCACCGGCGCCATTCTCCCCGGCCTGTCCTTGGTGTGAAACTTCGAAGGCTGCAGCTGGGCGCATGCTCCCTGTGGAGGCCTGGCTTGGGATGGTAACGTGATAAATTTACGTGTTGGTGTTTTTCAGGTCTCATCGAGTGTTACTTGACCTCTAACAGTATCCGAGAAGCGATGGTAATGGCGAACAATGTGTACAAAACTCTAGGTGCCAACGCACAGACTCTCACTCTTCTAGCCACTGTTTGTCTGGAAGACCCCGTCACACAAGAGAAAGCCAAAACTCTCTTAGATAAAGCCCTGACCCAGAGGCCGGATTACATTAAGGCTGTGGTGAAGAAAGCAGAACTACTTAGTAAGTATCTTATTTGCTGCCCAGGTCGTCATTGATATTTATAAAACCAAATCTCTTTTAGACTCCCAGCCCCAGCTGGTTACATATGACCAGACAAGTGTATATCTTTTGCAGCAAGTCTGAGCCTACTACAGTTGGTTTATATTTAGCACAGCCAAAGTGTAGCCGGCTAGACCTGCCTGAACTAGCTGAAACAAGCTGAAATGGATTTGTTCCTATTCACCTCTTTTTGTCTGGTTTTAGTTGTTCTGAACTAGTGTAGCTGATTTTAGTTAGTTTGAACTGAGCTATCTGGGTTTTCTAAAGACATTATTTTTTTTTGGAATCTATCTACCAATCTATCTTTGTGCTACTGGGAATTGAAACCCAGGGCCTTTGAACTACTACCTTGATTTTTTTTTTTTTTTAAACAGTCTTGATATGCAGTTCAGGTTGGCCTTGAACTCACTACGTGGCCGGGCTGCCCTCAAACTTGTGGCAATCCTCCTGTTTCAGCCTCCCAAGTGCTGGGATTACAGGTGTGTGCCACCATGCCTGATATACCTGGATGATTTTTTTGTGTGTGTGCCAGGAATCAAACTCAGGACCTTGCACTTGCCAGGCAGGCACTTGGGCTGCTGAGCTACATCCCCATCCCCTTTTACTTTTATATTTTTAAGTTTTGAGACAGTGTCTCATTAAGCTGCCCAGGCTGGGCTCATGCCTGTGACCCTCCTCCTTCAGCCTCCCAGAGTGCTGGGATTATGGCACACGCCACCATTTCTGGTGTTTATTTTTTTAAGTTACAAAGAAAAGTTTTATTGTGGCTCATGGTTCTTGTCCAAGGTTAACAGGCCGTGTCTGGTCATAGTTTTCTCGCTGTCAGAGTCCCACGGGAGCACAGGGTACCATATGGTGAGGGCCAGAGAGCACACCTTGTGTCCTGATTTCTGAAATTGATGATGATCTCCTGGATTGGGGCTAGTTTGGCAAATAAAATACATTTGGCTTTTTCTTTAAAATACGGTGATGAATGCATTTAACACATTCCCACCGGCTTGACCTACCAGTGGTCGGTTCATGCATGACTGTCTGGTCAGGCGGCTTGGACTACCGGTGGTAGAAGTGGTACAGTCATGCAGAGGACAGTCACGTACCCACGCCAGGTGGTTCAAGCCGCCCGACAGCGAGACAGATTACCGCCCCATCATGACTGTTAAAAAAAAAACTTAGATCTCAAGCTGCGGATTTCCTAACAGAGTAAGAATTCAGGTGCACCTTGTTTTCACTGTGTCGCACCGTCATTCCTTGGAGGATGTCTGCTAAGAAGCTGTCGGGCTGTGCTTACGGTTTTACGTATGTGCACTGATCTGGGAATGTATGTTCAAAATGCTGTTGAAGGAGGACAGTGAGGGTCTTTCTCTTTTCAGGCAGAGAACAGAAATATGAAGATGGAATTGCTTTGCTGCGGAATGCATTGGCCAACCAGAGTGACTGTGTCCTGCACCGCATCCTAGGAGATTTCCTTGTAGCCGTCAATGAGTATCAGGAAGCGATGGACCAGTATAGCATAGCACTAAGGTAGGCACCGCGCCTCCTGCGGGGAGTCAGAGGAAGGTAGAGGCCGCGGCCCGTGCAGAGCAGGAGTTGGGCAGCGCACATATACTCTGTGCCCACCGCCGAAAACAGAATAGTAGTAATGGCAGAAAATTATTTGTGAATTCGTGATTTCTACAGTTTTTTTCTCAAAGTATATTAACAACGATAAAGAATTGTTCCACTCATAACCCACACTTTTATAACATCCGTGCTCATTTGCATAGATTCTGTCCTTGCCGACACATATTTTGTAGGGTTATGCTGAATGTATATTTTCTATTCCGCTTTTTCAAATCAGAGTATTGTAAGTACTTTGGTGTGTTTCCTACAGTAGCAGTTAAGAACTTGAGCTCTGAGTGTGAATGCTGCCTTCACTCCCGTCTTGGGCACGTTACTGACAGGTTTCCTTGTCTCTGACCACTTCAAGGGGTATTCAGTGATTGAGGATTAAGTGGTTATTCCATGTAAAGCTCTTGGCACTGTGCCTAGTATGTGGTAAGTGTGAAATAAATAGTGGCATTCGTACTGTTACTACAGCAGTGTTTTTTTCAAGGGTTGTCTGTGAGTCTGAAGTCACAGTGAGGGGCTGTGTGTAGCCGGGTCTGGTCCCATCTGCCCACCCGCTAGTAGCAGACAGGTGAGCAGCGCCGTGTGCCTGGCGTCTCGGTGACCACTGGGGCCGCTGCGATTCCCAGAGCTGTCCATGGCGATGGGCGCCTGACCACGGCAGCCTGTAGAAGGCTGGGGAGGCCCAGGGGACAAGAGCTCTGGTGCAGTGGGAGCCACGCACAGTGTTTCTGAGGAGAGGTGGGACTGAGCAAGCTATAGTGACGTGAATGGGAGTCCAGCGTGGCCGTTAGCTGATTTTTGGAAGTCCAGCAACAACTGGAAAAGTAAAGTAGCAGACTTTGATCAGAGGTGGGCTTTGCTGAGGAGGAGGAGGCACTTGCTGGGTTGGGTGGCCGTGAAGCCAAGAGGAGAAATTGCTTAGAAGCCAAGGAAATGAGTGTTCGGAGCCGCTGAACCTCGCAGGGTTTGGCGCGGGCCTGGGCAGGGGCAGCCTCGGGTCCGGTCCGACCTGCTGCTTCACAGCTGCGCGGTGAGCTCATTCCTGGTCGCCAGCGGAGACCTGCGGGTGTTTCCTGCGTCACAGGGACACGGAACAGTTTCCCCACAGAAGAGAAACTTTCGTAGTGCCGTAGCTCGAAATTCCTCTATTTTTAAGAAATTACATTTGAATTTTTCTCATAGTGTTCGTTTGCCACTTTCCCTCATTACAGCTGATAACCTCCTGTAGTAGAATAGAATGCTAGGGACAGGAGTGTGAAAAGGTTTAAGAAATTGGAGAAAAATTCAAAGTGAGAACTCAAAAAATGAGGAAAAGATGCCTTTTCTCACTTCTGGTATGGACTCCTCGGTCCAGCCCTGCAAGCAGGAGTGCTCCAGGGAGGCCAGGGTGTAGCACTTTCTCTGTAACCGAGCTTGTTTCCCTGCCCGGCCAGCTAGGTGACGAGCCAGCCAGCAGGAAGCAAGGCAGAGACTCAGGCCTCTCCTTTCCTTTGTTGTCCCCTAGTTTGGACCCCAATGACCAGAAGTCCCTGGAGGGGATGCAGAAGATGGAGAAGGAGGAGAGTCCCACGGATGCTGCGCAGGAGGAGGATGTGGACGACATGGAGGGGAGTGGGGAAGAAGGGGACCTGGAGGGCAGCGACAGCGAGGCGGCCCAGTGGGCCGACCAGGAGCAGTGGTTCGGCATGCAGTGAGGTGCGGCCTGTCCCGGCGCCCGAGGAGCCGCGCGGGGCGGACAGTGAGTCACTCGCGTGGCGGGTGCGGGCAGCAGGCGCCCTGCCCCTCTCCAAGCGCGGTCGGGACTTCATTTGCGCACCGAGTGACCGGCCGCCCTGCGCCTCGCGGGGGCACCGAGGAGACCCCAGCAGCAGCCTCGCCGGGCCGGGCCGGGCCGGGCCGGGGGCCTGTGATGCGCGCGCGAACTGCCACATGCCAAAGCTCGAGGACTAGATGGTGCTTGTGTGTGACCTGGACGGTTGGAAGGAATGGCCCACCTTCCCAGAGCAAGAGGTCACTCCCGAGGACAGGGTTTCCTGCTCCCAGAGGTCGTCCTGGGCTGTCCCCTAGTGACCAGCCTCCTGCGCTGGCGCCAATGCCTTAAGCCAGTGAAGTTTCCCCTTCGCCACGCGGCGCCTTTCCTCGGTCTGGGCCAGCCGCGACGCAGGCGTGAGAGCAGTGCGACCAAGGGCGCGGGCACTTAGCTAATAAAACTGGTCTGTGCAGTCGCGTGCGGGCCTCTTAGAAGCGCGCACGGTTTCTGCTGTCTTACGGTGCCGGCCTCGGCCGTGTTCCTTGCCCTGGATTCCATTTTTCCGTTTTGGGAGCCTCAGTCAGCCCTGTGTGCCCTCCGCTGTGCTGGCGGGAGCGTCCCTGGGTCTCCAGTCCCCAGCCTGCGGCCGCTCTGCTCCTCCCCTGGGCCGACTGACCCCCCGCCGGGCCCCTCCGGTGAGGCGCTCGGGCGGCGGCGGCCCGTGGTGCGGGAGAGGACGTCAGCCCCAGGTTTTCACTGAATGGACGCAGTGAGAGGGGCTGTAAGATGGCAGGGGAAACAAGGCCCTGAAGTACCCGGACACGCGTGGGCAGTGGCTGGAGCTCAGGACACGCAGTGCCCGCGGTTACAGCGGCGCCGAGGCCCCGGGCGGGCGG